CTGTCCCCCAATAAATACCAATCAAAAATGGGCAAAGACGTCATTCAAAAATCCACAAATGACAAATGCTGGAGAGGCTGTGGAGAAAGGGGAACCCTCCTTCACTGCTGGTGGGAATGCAGTTTGGTGCAGCCACTATGGAAAACAGTGTGGAGATTCCTCAAAAGACTAGGAATAGACTTACCATATGACCCAGGAATCCCACTCCTGGGCTTGTATCCAGAAGGAACCCTACTTAAGGATGACACCTGCACCCCAATGTTCATAGCAGCACTATTTACAATAGCCAAAACATGGAAACAGCCTAAATGGCCATCAACAGGTGACTGGATAAAGAAGAGGTGGTATATTTATACAATGGAATACTACTCAGCCATAAAAACCGACAACATAATGCCATTTGCAGCAACATGGATGCTCCTGGAGAATGTCATTCTAAGTGAAGTAAGCCAGAAAGAAAGAAAAATGCCATATGAGATCGCTCATATGTGGAATCTAAAAAACAAAACCAAAAACAAAAAACAAACAAATAAACAAAGCATAAATACAGGACAGAAATAGACTCATAGACATAGAATACAGACTTGTGGTTGCCAGGGGGGTGGAGGGTGGGAAGGGATAGACTGGGATTTCAAAATTGTAGAATAGATAAACAAGGTTATACTGTATAGCACAGGGAATCACAAAGGAAAAAATGTGATAATGAGTGTGTATATGTCCAAGTATGACTGAAAAATTGTGCTGAACGCTAGAATTTGACAAATTGTAAAAATGATTATAAATCAATAAAAAATGTTTTTAAAAAACAAAATAAAATACAATAGTACATGTTATTAAAGATTACATACATATTTTAAGGACATATCAAAACATTACTGCAGGCACCTATCAGGCAGAGGTTGATGGAAAAGAATGAGAGTGGAGATTAGAGAAGAAGGGAAAAAATAAAACAATAGAGGATACCCATTTAAATTACTAGTAACACTGTGTTCTGCATATGGTACCTGGAGTCCCATAGGAAAAATACAGTGGAATGGATTGGATGAAACAGGGAAGAAGCCACATCTCAAAATGGAAGGGAACCCATTCTGTGCACTGTAACATCATGATGATCTCACACATTTATTTATATATATATGAAATTACTTGAAGATGCACTCTAACTTTTCATTATAAGCAAGTCTAAATAATTTAATTTTTCCAGTATGGTGCATATATCACATAGGCTGAAAAATAAAAATTAACAAAAAGAGGAAATTGTGATATATTGAAAAAAGTTCAATTTGTTCCCCTTTTTGCAAAAAAAAGAAAAAAACAACAACACACAATAGAGAGAGAATGCCTGGAGGAAATGTAGGTTAAGGTTTTAACATGCAGAATGCCTACAATTTTACTTATTTAGAAACTTCACCTTGTCTGTATGTTTTAAGGAAACCACTAAGAAAACAGAAAAAAAGTTTATGGAGAGCAGCTACCACAGGGCAGCCATTCAAGACACTGGTCTGGGCTTCCATAAAGCCTATAAAACTTGGGTTTCTTAAGATCTGAAGGTTAGTGGATCTTTTATTAATAAAACTCAAGCCCACCAGCAATATGAACCTTCTACTAAGTGAAAGGAAAATACTGGATAACTGAACCAGTCATTAAATTGGAAAAAAATCTAGAACTCCAGTGGAAAAACAGCTTTATTGATTCCCCATGTTTGCCACTGACGTACCAACAGTGGGTCTCATGATATTGCACAGGAAGGCAGCTCAGTCAGAGGGTTTGCTTTGCTGTATGACAGCTGCAGCCAGATCTTCCTGTCTAGATGAAGATACCATCCAAATCCTAGGAAAACAAAATAAAGGGTGAAACCCCAGCAGCTGCAAATAATTTCTGTCCAGTCATCAGGACGGCTTTTTGCTTTAATTGCAATTACTGAAAAGTTCAGAACTAAATAGGGAAATGACACAAAAACATTAACTTGGGCAATACTCAGACACTTGGTAGATTCTATATACACTGTACATGGAGTAAAGAAAATAATTAAGGGCTTTGAAGAGAAGAAACAGTCATTTCATTGAGCAAAGACAAAACAGGTAAATCCTTAAAATTTCTTTTCTTTCTTCTCTATGTTATCACTGGGCACTATCCCAGGGTGGCATTTAATTATCATTTTGAAAGGTTTCTAGTGAAACCTTTCTAGTGAAACCATCCAACTTAGGAGTTAAATCTAAGCTGCTGTGATTTCCCATTTAATTTTGGGGGGACCTGAGCATTCACAATTCATTTTACAAGCTCATAACTGTTATGAGACATAAAGGGATGGGAGCAGAATTTTTAAAGATGTCTAAAGAATGCAATGACTTTAACCTACGAATTACTCCAGTTTTTTAAAATAATAGCAATACATTTTCCAAATAAAAACTCTTTGTTAATCTCAATTCAAATATAAGGTATTGAAGAGAATCCATTTGAATAGTTATGTTTATGATAAGCACTTTTATTGTTTCAAGGGAAAATATGCTTTTTAATGGACATTTCTGTGATTAAGACAGAATGAATTTATTCTAATTAGGTTTTCTGTCAGCATGACCTTGAGGGATTTTCTTTCTCTTTCTCTCTCTCTTTTTTTTTTTTTTTTTCAGTTTGAGGTCCTGCTAGAACAAAATTAAATTTGGTGAGATCTGGGGATTCAGTTGTGATTTTCCTTGATATTTGATCTTTTAGAGTCAAATGGAAAACCAACAATTTTCCAAATGGAAATCAACAGCTTTCCAAAAGCACAGGCATTTCTCTGTTGAAACATGATTTTCTAATTCCAAAGAGAAATTAACCTACTGATTCAAAGCAACTCAGACCTTGGTCCAGCTCTTTCTTGTACTGATGATCCCTGCCACCTGAACGGTTTTTATTGCCATGCAATGAGAACATGACTGCTGATGCACAACAGCAGGCAGTCCTATGGGTGTGGACCCTCAGATTATGACCAGAGTGGGGTCATCTCATGGCCAAGATGGGGAGGCCATTCACATGAAGTGAAGAGTCATCACAATATTTATACAGCTATCACTGAAAACTGAAATCAGATCTTCTGCAACAACATTGTAAGACGTTTAATCACCAGGGAAGTCATAACTCAAGTTAAGCAGAGGATGCTAAGGCAAAACAATCTGTGTGAACAGCTCCTAGGATACTATCCAAGTAGCAGGTTCCGGGGAATGGCTTTGACCATCGTGCCTTTTGAGGCTTCTTTATGCTGCTGACCCTGGGGATGTCAAAGACATTGTCATTTTAATTCAGAGACAATCTGATGGGGACTAAAGACAAATCAGTACATTTCAGCTGTTTTTATTATCCGATGATGTGTGAAACAGATAGGCTTATACTATCCTTAAACCCTCTGCAGTCTGGGGACAGAGTGGAGCTCAGGAAGTGGTGGTAGTGAAAAACAAGTGAGGCTGGGGTGGGGTTTGTGGAGCAGAGAGGAGACAGACAAACATTCAGCAAATGGTTAGCCACTACTCTCTATGCTGGGAGAAAGAAACAGTTTTTTCCTTATGTAGTTTACATAAGGAACTTATGTAGTACCAGAGATGAAACAAACAATAACTGAACAAGATGGTTTTAGTGCTATGGAAAAAAATATTAAATGGATGATCTGATAGAAAACCCCTAGTAGTAATTCGCCAGGCAGAGCAAGAAGGCAGTGGAGCAATGAGTGAGGAAGAGAGTGAGGATGAGGAAGGCAGGAAGAAGACGGTTGTGTCAGGGTGTCTGAACTTGGGCATTACTGATATCTGGGGTCAGATAATTCTGTGTCACAGGGAGTTGTCCTGTGTCCTGTAGAGTGTTAGCAGTGTTCCTGGCCTCTCCCCAGTGGATGCCAGTAACACTCCCCTGGTTGTGACAACCAGAAATGCCTCCAGATATCACTAACTGACCCTTGGAACATTTGAGACTCTCCATTTGAGAACCACTAGCTCACACAGGGCCTCAGAAGCAGGAGCATTAGGCAAAATATTTAACAACTTATGTGACAAGAGCACAGGCCACTCAGACAAGGCACTGATGGTAAAGAACCTATAAAGCTGTACCAGTGCATCCTGGATGAATGTCAGCCCTGCTCACACTGAGGAGTTGAATTTCCTTCTAATTGTGATAGAAAGCTAGAGAAGTGATTCCTAGTTGTCTTTTAAGACAGAAAGCGACATGGTTTCTTTTAGGTTTTCAAAACGACCATTTTAGCTGCTAAGCAGAGAACAGATTTCAGGGTAGGGCAGCATGAGAGGAGGCAAGGAGACTCGTGGGAGGCTACTGAAGAAATCCACGTGCAAGATGCTGGAGACTTGGACTAGAGTCACAGTAGTGGAGATAAATCAAAGCAACCACAATATATTCTAGAGGTGGAGAGCAACTGACCAATCAAGGATTATACCTCAGTTTTGGCTTAACAATTGAGTAACTGATGCTCATTTATTAAGATGGGAAGACTAGACGAAGAAGAGATTCCAGAGCGAAAATGAAGAATTCTGTTTTATGTATGTTTAAACTTCAAGACACCTATTAAATATCAAAATAAAGTTGTCCAAGAGGTACCAGTACCAGCTGGCAACTTGAATCTAGAGGTCTGAATAAATTTGATAGTCACCAGCATATACAATACAGAAACAACTAACATCCAGAAGTCCACGTTTATATATGTAATCAACACAGGAGAGGCCACTAACCATTCAAATCAGTGTGTCTGCTCATTTTCTGAAGATTAACTTATATATTTCATGCCCTGTCTCCCATAACCTCCAATTTCCTCACTGTATTTGACAAAGATTAGCCTCATTTAATTTCAATTAACAAATAATCTGACCTTTGTACTTTGTTTTTTATTGAAAAATTTGAGCAAATATCCCTGTGCACTTTTCAAGGGTTTCCTGACAATGCAAAATTGAATGCAAATCTATTAGGCTCTAGGGTGAGGACAGGGAAAGAAACTCATAGATGTTTGGGGTAACAATATAATTCCTTATTCTTAGTCCCACACAGCCCAGGGCCCCACAATTAACTGCCATCTCGTTTTAAAATATTCAGTGCATTTTGTCATCATTTCACTTAATATTATTAAATTCTAATTGCTCTTGGAGGACAGGTGTCAATCCATTAGATTCAAACCCAGTTCTAACAGGTGTCAGCATATACAACTATTAATAATGGGTGAAATCTAATATTTAAATAACACGTTGTGGTTTTCACAGCACTTCCTTTGGTGATAAGATTTTATTTTCACCACAATTTTGTGACACAGGAAAGGCAGATATTTTTGTACAACAACTTTAAAACAAAGAAACTATTGTTCAACTAGATTAAATAATTTGCCCTTTGTCCTGCAGTTGGTAAATGTTAGCAAAAGTATTGGAACACAAGTATCTTGACAACTAATTCCATACTGAAGAGTAGATGGTGTTCTGCCAGTGCATTATGGCAGTGTAACTCACAATATCTGACCCCAAAAGTAAACCCTTATTTGACTTTTTCCTGAAGATGATTTGAGCTGGTCCTCAACCCAGGCATATTTTCCTATGTTCCTTCTCTGTAATCTAATTTTCCACGCTTGATAAAATTTGTGTGGCTGCCTTCTGTGTTCAACATGCTATCTTTCCTTCTGCTTTCTTGGCTTGCCTCTATGCCAGTTGACAGCATCTTCCTGAGACTTCCTTTCTGGCATCCTAACTTTTTCCTGATTACTTCAGCCCTATCATGACCAAAAACGTGGCACAGACTATAAAAATTGAGTTATATTCTTCTTCTTTTCCTTGCTGAGTGGGTTTACTCAAACTTTGCTCTCCATGATTAATGAAGACTCCTGTTTTCCTAACCTAAATGTCTCATTCTGCACTGACAAAATCTTTTCCTTTATTGATTTCACAACTAATACCTGATATTGTAGAAAACGACATAAGAGTATAAAGAGAAAAAATAAATTACCCCCATAACCTCTAGCCAAAGATCAGTAAGATGTGATTGCTTGATTACTTTTGTTGTCTCTTGAATTGAATGCTTAATTAACATTTTAAAATTCTTTCTTATTAATAGTGAAGGGATTCAAGTCCATAAGTTTTACTCAAAGTACAACTTTAGCCACATTCCATAACCTTAAGGGAAGGCGGTAAAAATGAATTCAGAGAGGGAACATGGCAGATTGTGTACGGCCTTGTAGGCCATTGTGAAAATGTTACCTTTTACTGAAATGAAATAGAGAGTCCCTGGAGAGTTTTAGGCAAAGCAGTAGCATAATTTAACTGAAAGGATCAATTAAATTAAAAAGTGAAAAGTGCCTACTTAGGAATGTGAACAATGCCACAGAAACAAAAGTCGGAGAAAATTAATATGCAATTAGCCTTCCCTATCTGTAGGTTATGAGCCCTGATTTAAGAGAAACATGTTTTATTCTTTGTAACTAAAATAACCAAAATCTAATAAACATGTAAGTAAATATTAGCTATTACATTTTCATCTGATACTAGTGTTTTATATTCATACAGTCCAGACTACTGAATATTACATAATGGATACTCAATAAATAAATACCTGCTGGTTTAAAAAGAAAAAAAAGGAGGGGAAGGAGAGGGATGGACAGAGAAGGAGGAAGAAAAGAGAGGAGATAGGAAAATCATTCAGTATACTTACTTCTACAAATAAGGAAATACACTGTCAGGGATAGATAATTAGGCTAATACATCACTAACTAATCTCAAAATTTACAGAATATATAATATGATGAGCCTTTACTTTAAAAACAAAGAACTGAGAAATGTTTCATTTCTTAAAATTTCTCTTAAAAATTAAGCTTGTATCTGTTCTTACCTATAAAATGTTTGTTTGCCCTGACTTTCTCACTAATGTGGATTCATAGTCCTCACCCCCTCACATACATACACAAAGACATAAATTCCTGTGAGAAACTAACATGGGGCAAGAAGATGCACACAGAGCTGACTGTTCTCCCTAAACTAAAGCAGAGCAACAAATAAAGTGCTAATTTGCACTTTTGGGCTTAGTTTTGCTATCAGTGTTTGAAACAACTTCAGTTTTTATATGATGATTGCTTAATTAAAGGATTTAGTGTGTATTCAAGAGAGCTACTTGATGCATTTACAAAATGAAATAAGATCTGCTTCTCTATTACTGTGTTTCGCAGCTCAAGATATCGTGGGAAATGGACTGAAGTGTAAGTGTGCTGTCCCCCTGTGAAGCAAACCTACTTCTGGTGCAAGTGGCTTGTATGTCTTCATGATCTACCACCCTCGAAAAGAGAACAGAGATACTCGAACTGAGGTTACAGCAGGAAAGTACTCTTGTGTGAATCCTCATTTATCCTTTTGTAATAAATAGCTTGCACATCAAATGGGTCCCACCTACGTGCCAAAGTTTTCATTTTCTAATACAAATTCCATCCAGAGCCTCAATATCAAGCTGCGTTCTCTCAGCCTTTCCTGTCAATGCCAGACAACAGATCTAGCAGTAACAATTCTTCTGACAGTTTTGTGATGGAAATGTGAGGCACAACTTGATACAGACAGCTCTGCTATCATCGCATTATAATTCCTGCAATTCTAACCATAAAATCCACCTTTTGTGGGTTAAGTAGACAGTTACGATTAAACGTCAGGGCCACAGTTTTATTTGTGACTTCTTTCTTTCTTTCCAGTATAAGACTGACTTGATTAGGAAGTCTCAGGCAAGCACAATATAATTATACTGTTATCATATAATGCATATTTACAAGAGAATATAAATTACTGAATTTGTTGTAGACTAGAGTGATGTTGTATTTTTCATTTACTTAAATTCAGTTATCCTCAGCTAGCCAAATTATCCTGATTATACACTGGTTAAACCATCTGCATTTCTGATTGCCCATATACCTTCCTGAATCTTCACTCTGGATACCAAAGAAGGATAACATTCATTTTAGTCTCTGATATGGAAGCATTTTAATTTTTTATAAATACAGATTGAATTAAAAAACTTGCCACTTACTTCCCTATAAGGGTAAGTTAAATCATCTTTTTTTCTTTTTCTATAATGAGCATTCTCACAGGGGGTCAATGTGTGGGAATTAATTGGCTGCTGTTTTTATCATGGGGGACTGGTAACACACTGTCCTTATAACCGAAAAGACCTTATGAACCACACAACTCAGAAGGACCCAAAAACTCATCATAATTGGCTTTCTCCATGAAAAGAAACTTACAGTAAATCATAAACTGTAACAAAGATAAAATTTTAAAAATGTGAAAGGTGCTAAGGATAAAAATGCTTGCCAAGTATGAGTCTAGGCATGACGTTGTTTGGCACAGTCAAGGTCCCAGGCTAAGGAGCTGAGGAACCTGGCTCTGTGACTATAAGAAATGCAAAGCATTCCCAGGAGATAAGCCCTCTGACACCACTGGAGGAGCTCCCAAAAAAGAAACCCCCATGAGGAAAGGACCTTGCCTATCTTGTTCACTGCCAGAACACATGAGTGTGCTCAGCTATTTAAAACACAGGTTCCCAAATATTAAATTATTATTATTTCTAACTAGTCTGTCTATAGCTATTGTTGTGCATTCCCCAAATGGTCTCCTCCCACCCCAGTCCTTTCTTGCTCCAGGATGCTTCAGAGAGGCATCACCTGGCAGAGAAGAGCACCTCCAGGATGCTCCTTTACCACCATCAGTGTCAGCTGTGGTCAGCACTTAAGTGACACTGGTTGTTAAGTATTCTAGAAATCACCCTGCACCCTCTCTTTCCAAGTATCTCCAGTGCTCAGAGCTGGGTCTGCCACAGACTAGCTGCTTGGTAAGTTCTTCTGAGTAAATTTATGAATAAGGGAACTGTTTACTTTCCTTACTTTGAATTTTTTACTTATGCATTTTCCCAGAGACATTACCTATTTGATTTGCTAGTTCAACCCAACAAATACCAAATATCTGCATTGGTATTATTCACACTTCCAATGCCATCCACCAAGACAAACTCTGACTGAGTACCTACTACATGGCAAAAATTTTTCTGGGCACTGGGGTGACCCTCCAGGAGACTGAGGGATATAGAGATGTGTTTGAACTTCTTCCCCAAAGCACAGATTCCATAAATAATTCACAAATAAGAGAGAAAAGGAGATGCCAAAGAGATTAAATGGCTCATAAGTGTGCTACTATTCTTCAGACTCAATTTGACTGCTTTTTGGCTTTAGTCATAGGGTCTAAAAGTTATTTGTATGACCAGCTGAAGATATAAAAATAGGCACAAACATATGACAGGTCAGGTTGCATAAGCTTGAGGAGACCTCTAGGCATACATGTAGAATCCAAACCCCAAATAACTTACACTCATTGCCTACCTACTATATGTCAAGAACTGTACAGAGCACATACATACAGCCTTTCATTCAGTGTCCAAAATCATCCCATGAACAAATTCTAGTCTTCACCCCTTTTACACATGGCATAACTAAGTTGTGTAAGGCTAAATAATTTGTCCAAAGGTACACAGCTGATAAGTGGTGAGGACAAAATGTAACCTGTCTTTCTGCCTCTAGAGTTCAGGTAGTAAGCACGGCACTACCTACCTTGTAAAGTACACTCAGCTTCTCTGAGATTATAAATTTTATGCTAGAATATCCTATATTTAAACTAGAACAGTCCTTACATGTTTTTGGCCACTTTAATTTTCTTCCCAGCTTATGGATTGGTCCAGGTTGCTATGGCAACGTTCTCCAGCCTTTCCTTACACTCTCTGTTCATCATGCTCTTCTCTCTGACTCCTTCATCCAGTCTGGTGTGGCTCCCATAAATGACTGAAACCACCCTGGCAAAATGGCTAGGGCCTGCCCAGCTACATTTCAACTGGACATGGATTTATTTGTTGAACCTCGTCACTTCACCCACGCAGCTCACTCCCCTGTTCTGATGCCCTTGACTACTAGTCTATTGCATATTATTGTGTCCATTGTGTCCTTATACCGACCCTATTTACCATTAGAGCTTGGCTCATAATCTGTCCCTTCTATAGCTCTGAAAATGATCTCTTCCTCAACCTTCCTGAAGGATATAAATTTGTCTCTCTTCTTCGACTCTGAATATTCATGGACAAACTTCAGAGGATCGAGATACTCTCTTTCCCGCCTTTTCAATATCCAAAAATATCTAAAGACTTTTTTCTTACCACACTGAATTATAAGCCAAGATGGGATAATGTACCACATATCTTATATCCTTCAGAGTACTCATCCTAGCATTTTGTGCCTAGTAAGTATATAAATAAGTTAATAAATAAATAAATGAATAGTTGGCTAGTGGATGAAGAGACTAGAGAAGAGCTGGTGAAGTACACAGGAGAAGGAGAATCTAACTTAAGAGCTATCACTTGTAATTCTTTTTATTGATGCAGAGTACCTAAGAAATATTTGTTCATTAAGATTACCAGCTGAACCACCAAAAAAAAAAAAAGATTACTAGCATTACTTGGAGTTACTTATTTGGTTTACAATACTGTTAATATATTAGCTACAATTTATAAGACAACTACTGTATACCAGGCACTAACCTGGGTGCTCTTGATCATTTTTAATTAATAGTCCCCAAAATGTAGAAGGTAAGTGTTAGTATGCCCTTTTCATGGCTGTGAAAAGGCAAGTAGGCAGGTGTGGAGAGTTAAGTTACAATGGAGGATCTCTTAGGGAATAAAAAGGAGAGATGGATTTGATCCAATGTCCCTTTAATTCCAAATCCGAGACTTCACTCTTTCTACTATACCACGCTGCCTCATTAATGAACAAGTCTTATAAAAAAAATTCCTCTTTAAATTTTCAGGTATTTTCAGGGGGCGGAGATCAAGCACATTGTCTTTAATCCATTACCACAGACTAGTTTGGCAAGAGCATCAAGCTATCTCATAGCAGAAAGAATGAGTTTGTATAAATAGAATTTGGGATAGGTTAATTTTGTTGGGAGAAAAGGAAGTTTAAGATTAAGAGAAGGATGAGTCTGTAGTTCAGTGCCCTACAAGATCAAGGAGTAAGATAAGGACACTAAATGACCAGAAGAGACATAGAACCAGAAGCCAAAAGAAGGAACTAATAGAGAACAGGATGAGAGAGAAGGGACGGGTACTGACAACAGGCTTTCCTACTTCATAAGGGAGAAGGGGCAGTTTCCCAGTTCTATTTTTCCCCCATCTCTGGCTCTGATTGTAGGCACAATGCTCTTACTACAAAAAACTACCAGGGTAGGGCAGGATAAGGCAAATAGAAGAGGTTCCACATTGAAATAGCGTGAACACTTAGAGTTACCTAATGATGGATGAGGGCACCCTAAATTCAAGCCAAGCTACAGGTTTACTTTAAAAACTAAAATCATGCCCAGCTAGAATTAGGACATAAAAGGAATGTAACCATCCTTAGGCACCAAACAGTAAGATTATTTGGTGGTCACTAGTATTTTTAAACTTGAGTCCATTGTTAGACAAAAATTTAAATGGAATTGATAGTCAGGTGCAAAAGTAGGTTTAAGCTATGAGCCATATTCCCACTTGAGATCCAAGGACCACCACAGTTATCTAAGAATATGGGCTGGCATGTCTTTCGCAGAAGCATTTATTGCAAAAGGGCCTCTCTTTCTCTCTGCTTACAGAACACATCTTTGAGGCAGAGCACTTCTATCTTAGATGATTGAGAAGCTTAAGAAGTTTAAATACTCAACTTTCTCTGACATGAACTTAGGAATGTGCCCCAAAGTTGCTCTCAGGGAATGGTCTTTCCATTTTTGTAAAAATCTTGCCTTTCCTCTGATTATTCTCTTGAGTTATGGCCACACATGAATAAAAGTCCTTTTAGTTGTAGACACAACCAGTGCTAGCAAATGCTTTCAATCCAGCATGACACCCTCTTGGGGCATTTCTGTGTGCCTTTGTGCTGGCTTTGCTGTCTGTTGCTTTCTGTGGCCTTGTCAATATTGTTCTTTCACGGACACCCTCCGGCTACTGAGTCACACACGCAGGGAGCTGGACATGCCTAGGAGTTTGTGTCCATCCCGGCTCTAAGCCAATGACAATGAAAGTCCAGCTTTCTGATCTCAGGTCGAGAGAGCTCTGAGGCTGAAGCTATCTTCGGTAGACTGCCTGAGATGACAGCTTACTTCCCTCTTCTCTTACAGTGCTTTCTCCACTTCCTTCCAGCTTCTCTTGGGAGTACTTCCTTAGTCAATTACTCATACATGAATCCTCACATAAGGGTCAGACTCCAAGGAATCTGACCTAAGACACTAACCCAAATAAAAAATGGCTGGGGTGGTATGAGTAACACGGCAAGAGGCAATCACAGGCACAGATACAGAGTAAAGTGTTGTCTTGGGAACCGGAGCC